TTTAGGAACTTCATGTGTGTGCATACCAGGATTTCAGATGATTGCCAATAATGGAGGACCTGATATTATCTGTAAAAAGTGCCCAGAAAATATGGTATGGAGTATTTATCTTTAAATAATTTTACTGTAAAAAGTAGTAAATAAAATGTCTTTATTTTTTAAACTAACAATTTAATGCTATACTCTAATATTTTGCCACAAACCTCAAAATTATTAAGCTAACTTTGTTTTTACTAGAGTAATTTTGGGAGATCAGTGAAATTTTACGCAAACTTGGAAAAAACAGGAATGTATTGCTTTACTTTTTAAAATCTGAAATCCAAAAAACCACAAAGCAGTGGAAATTTGTCTTTATTTTTCCTCCTATAACTGAGAGTTATAAAGAAAAATAATAAATGATACGTATATAGGGCAGTTTGGGATGTGTGTATCCTTTGACTGGTACAGATTGAGTTCAGTGTCTTAGACCAATGTGTCAACAGTTTTATATAATTAATGTTCATAATGATATGTAGGGTGTGATAAGTTTGTGAAATGCCAATTGCATCACTAAAAAGGTTAAATAATACCTTGCTGTTTTGTTAGTCATTTCATTTTATAATTTTTGGAAAATTAGTAAATTGTTGCAATATATGATGATTCTTAATAAATAGAAATACATTTCAATCATTTTGGATAATTAGGAGTCTTTGTTTGCCAGTTCTGACTCTTATACTAATGTTTTTTTCTCATTATCTGTATTAAAAAAACATTGAATCTGGTAATTTAATGTAAAATTACCAGGCTTCCTACTTTATGGCTAGTACTTATAGGTTTGATGATCATTTTGATATTTATTTTATATTTTTGGAAATATTAGCCTTAGGTGAATTACCTATGAGAGCCACTAATATGAAAAGGTGCCAGAACAGATTTGTTTTTCAGTGACATTATTAAGATAACATGATTTTTAAATAGTCCTGTATAAATGTGCACGTATAGGAGTATTTTTGATATATCCAATTTTTCAACCAAAATTAAAAATAATTTGTGGCATTGTTTTTTATTGCCATTGTCCTCTATTAATTTTGGTTACATCCATGTTTGTAATATAATTACTGTGTTTTTGTCCCAGGTTTTTCCTAAATATGTAATATAATAAGTCCAATGGTGTCATATTTTATCAA